CCCCGAAGATGGGTCAAGTCAATGAATGCTGACGTATAAAACAGTCCCACAGGACCTCTCAAGGAGCCTATGACAATATATTCCTTTGTGTTCCCAGAACCATATGGCTCTTCTATAGCTTCAGGCATGGATCTAATGCTGTCTGCAAAACGCCTAGGTCTGACAACAACCACACATAACACTTTGGCCTAACATCCCATGCTTATCTTCAATGCCATTCAGATAAGGTATGGATTTTGCAATCAATCCCCTTGTTCCGGGTGTGATGAGTATGGCTTAATATGGGATCCTTACCTTGAGTTTGTGCTAACATCTCGCAACACTCAGAGGATAGATATATTATTGGGCAAGTCGTTCATCGCCCTAGAAGCGACTATACCTTGGGGAGATCTGTGGGGTTATACTACGAAGCGGCTCTTCCTGACTTCCAGCAAGGCTATCCCCAAGAGACTGCGATAGATTGTGGCATATTACATCAACAGTCAGGCTGCGCTCTTCAAAGATACTGGCGGTATTCCAAAGACAGCGTCGTCTAAGGCTACCATGAAGAAGCTCTCTTTCCCAACAAAGACCAGCAGTCAACTATATATAACGGCTGTTACTTCCCCTAGTATGAGATTTTCTCAACATATTGTCAGATGCATGAGAGAGCAACCTGCGAGATATTGGCGGTTCAAGAAGCAACCCCTCGATATAATGTGACAATCAATACGATGGCTTGGTAGTAGAATCAGTCCAACAATTTGCTTTATAAATGTCTCCTGTATACATTCAGGTTATCCAGTATCAATCTGGACTACCTTTCTCGCAGATAGAAAGCATGTTGACAATATTCAGCCGATAGACCCCTTTCACTTTCCTATACCAGCCAGCTGTCACATTTATTTTGATCCGAGAACAGCGAATGCCGGGGGCCTGGAGTTCAACAAGATGCTCTTAAGTCAGTTTCAACCAACTTTATGAAAACACCATGTGCAAGAGTATCGATATATACAACACTGGAAACCCAAATATATATACATATAGTACTAGCTAGAGTAAGTCCCCTCTTAAACTCCCATCAAGATCCTTAAATTTACTGCCACTAATATCGTATATCCAGAGGGTTTCAGCTTCCTGGCCTTTCGAACATAGTGACAAGGAGTGCAGTATTCTGGTCCGTTCCAGGGGGTACTAGGAACAACTATATAATAATGAATTTGGTAACAACTCAGCGGCATTTCACTATACCGACCACCTCTTCCATGTCCCGGAGTGCAACGCGTTTCGCATTGCGGTCTATTAACATATTTAAGGTCGTCCACCTGGCTCAGGCGTGGGAAAGCGGAAAGCCCAAGATCAACTTTCTAATACAAGGAGTGCGAAGAAGGAGAGGAGGTATCGCGATAAGCTATCAGAGGAAAAGGCAAGGAAGGGAAGAAACTCGGATGCATATCGCAAAGCCATTGCTCGTCAACAAAAGGCTTTTGAGAAGCTGTAGATAACTGAAGCATATCAGAATGCTCACCCATCGGAGAAGGAGAAGACGTTGAAGAATCACCAGCAACAGCTCGGTAAGATCGACCAGAAATAGTAGGTGTTTGCGATCACACCACTGCTTGACATCTGTCTAATCTGGTCTCAGTCGTGGTGAAGGGAGACACCCAGACCACCAAGGTGATGGATTAATGGGAGCAGACAGCTTCGGACTCAACATATCCTCCCCCAACGACAGAGATTCGGACTTGGAGGCTGATGATGAATTGGAAGATGTCGTAACAAAAACTGAGAAGATGAAAGAACATTTTGCATACGCGCAGGCAGCAACTTCACTCCAGCACGTACGCCAGCACCTGGCATCACAATTCGAAAGCCTATTCTTCAAATGCTTAGCCATTCGACGTACCGTCGGGTTGTGACAAGCACATCATGTGCATCCTGAGGATGAGGAAGCTAGCGAGATACTTTTTCGCGTACAGGTGAGCCTACTTCAACTTACCATCGCGCCATTTTCAAGCTGATGACTTCTAGATACACCCATGGTCTACCACTCGAAGGATCCAACCTCTTCACCGTTCAAGAGATGGCAACATGGTTCATTTGCGCCTCGTCAATCCACACTCTGTAGAGTACATCTCTTGATGTCCTTGGCACGGATAAGAAGATGAACTTCAACAGCCCAAAGCACTGGAAGATCCGGGGACTCGAGATCCTGTACCCGAAACCAACATCTCAGTATGTCAATCACTTTAGACATATGTGGCTCATTACTGACGATCGTAACAATGCGACTTTGCTTCATCGGAAATGGTCTCTTAAACATGGGATTCGACGCAGTAGATGGCCATCGGTGGAGTGGGCACCTAGTTTGGCCACCATGATTAATGAGATATGCTTAGGGGGTTAGCACTCAGTTCGGTTCCGAAGAGGCCGCAGAATCCGACAGATTGGGTGACGGGGAATTCATCAATCTTCCAGGTCCCTCCTGACTCTGGACTCGTGAAATCCTCAACAGCATTGAGCAGCTTGGAAAAGAACTGGATGGCAAAGGCAAAGATCTCGAGGCATTGTCCTCTATACCTACCGAGAAAATGACACTACTTCGCCTGTATCGAAAAAGGAAGATGCCTTGGGATCGACAGTAGATTCGCCATCCCATCCGCAGATACGATTCATCTTCTCTAACCTTCAAATCGGGCAGGATAGATGTGGACTCTGGACCAGGAGAAGAAAATGATTTGGTAAAGTCATCATAAACCTGTCTAAGTTTATCCTAAGCTTAGGATAATTGCCCTAAATTTACCTAAGTTATCCTAAACTTATTAAAGGTCATCCTAAGGTCACTTAAGCTACCACGTTCATAATCTGGCACTGATTCTCATATACTTGCATTTGTTGCTTACACTCTATTGACTTCGTTGACCTTTGTGGCCAATATAAACGAATCTTCATTCAAAAGGTAAATTACATATCCCTAGGTCCTTCGTTAGATCGCTGACTTGTATTCTTCCAGCTCAGGCATCTATGGTGTACTTCTACACCTGAGCATGCCATAAGCCCGTATCACTACACGAACCGCACAGAGTCGTCTAGTACACACCGAGGGCAGCGCGCACATAGAATACTGGGTCCGAGGCTATAACTGAAGCCAGTGGGTATGTGTACCGCCTCTCGTTGAAGCGACTGCAGACAGGGTCGAATGGCAAGCAGTTGAAACTCACCAGGGCCTTTTGTGAGATCCTCTACCCGACTGGGGAGCGGTTGATCGAATAACTCCTTCTACAACACGCCCAATATCAGTGGAAGAACATGATGAAGTCGGCACAGTCGTTGATGTGCTCAGTGGTGAAGACGAAACCCAAGCAGACCTCAATCGGGGCCTCCTATCAGATCGTGACCAGAATCCGTATCGCTTCGTGAACTAACTAGCAGATACATTTCAAAATTGGGCTGACGACACTGTACCTGGCGCCAACCCTTGAGGATTGCGCGCGGAACTTAGGGAGGCCAGACGATGCCAGTCTCCTGGGCCTAATTCATCAGATTCGAGCATATCTTCCCTGCCTTCTTCTCCGCGACAACGCACTGGAGGCGTTGGTTGCTTTCCCATCCCAGGGCTTCATATCAAGACTCACACTTGGCATACAGCCTACAGCGACGCCTTGACCGCATATCTCCAGAAGCATGCACAGTACTATTTGCTTGAGCCTTGTAAAGTTGGCACAGATAGAAGTACACAACGCATCAAAGCAAATACTCAGTCTGTTCTTTCCCATGAAAGCGGGGAGATCTCCCTTCCCGACAACATGACGAAGCATATCATCCGACAGCAGGGGCCGGATGGTGAAATCCGCGAGGCTATCGAGGCTGGCCGCCAGGTCTGGATTAGTCCACATCCGAAATGATGTACGAAGAGCGATGGCTAATGGAAGGGCCGCCACTTTCACAAGATTGTTCAGCGCCAGGGCGGGATGACTCCATTTCCTCCTCGACGTCAGTATTTAATTTGAGTCAGTATCGAGACTACCAAGGAAAGGAGATCAGCGTTCACGTCATCTAGGAACAAACAAATGCCCTCTGGCAGCCTCAAAAATGCCAAGCTCTTAACGACAACCAAGCCGAGGACTGTGTCGATGGATTGAGAAAGCCAGAGGCGCCTATCGTGGTCTTCCCAGTACTGCCAAGAGCATCTATTGCAACGAGCTGCGCGTCAAATCATGCATCAAGGATCGCGGCGGTCGCGAAGTTATTAAGGCCATCGGCAGGCAATTATGGGAATGGGAGCGTCTGTGCGGTCGTAGTGAAAAGATCTGCCACTGATTTGCACTCTGTTGTAATGGAGACGGCTCTCGGTAGTGAGGTCCCTCAGGGGTCAAAGAGTTTGGAATCTAAATCAGGAGATAAAAATAAGATATTCAAAGACTCATCTCAGTTTACGCTAAATTTTTCTCCGACTTTCCTAAGATATCCTAAATTATCCTAAATTTATGTAAATTCTTTGGTCCCTCAGGAAGTAAGTCCTGGAATTTCCCCACATCTGGCTCTATCAATGTTCAAGATAGAAGCGGCCTTCAATATGACAGAGAAGGCTAGGTAAAGCGATTTAAACAGCTCGAATCAAAGCAAGAGACTAAGTTTGCACATATTCGAAATGATCGCAATGCCCCTCATCGATGTCGAGTTGAGGGGGGCGTCGTTGTCTCCGCGGGAGGACAAGGCTGGTGCTCAAGGGAAAACGGTAACAGCAGGGCAAAGCTTCCAGATGCTGCAGATCCTCCACGTTGACGGGGCCGTCTCCCAGCACTGGTTTTCTGTATTGAAGTGCTGCCCGTCGGGAAGAATACACATCTGATCGAACTAGGGAAGTTGGCCCATCATGTCGACGACCAGGAACTTGACGAAACTGATCTGCGTAGCCCCGTAGTCTTTGTGGAAGATGTCGTTGATGTTCTCGTACTCTCCGTCTCGTGAGATAACCGTGCGATCAAAATCCGACGTGTTAGAATGCGAAGTGTCGGAGATGGCGCAGGTCAGATTCCACCAGCCCCGCAAGAGCGAGTAGAGCGTTATCCTATAAAGTTTCAGTTATTAGTATCGCTCTTGAATTAAAGAACCCATCCGGTGGTTGTGGCTACCTACAAGATGATATAGTCCGACGTAATTGCTACGTTCTTCATTTCCAACAACGGACTTATGTTTGATTCTGTTGACAAGTACCAACTGCTTTAAGAAGCGAAACCCGTAACGACAGATGTCGAACATCTAAAGTCTATGGACGAGATGACCACCGACGAATCGCCTCCCTCCATCACTAGCACAGATGGCTGGTATCTGCCTCTGGGTGTCAGAAAGAGAGGCCAAGACGTTGGCGACGCCAGGGCAATGATCGAAATCGACGCACCGAGCTTGTGAGGGATAACACTTCATGAGGGTTAATAGAAGCTCCTTGCCGGCTACAACACCGCCGCCACCATCGACAAGGCGGATATCCCGGATGTTTTTCTCTACCAAATCTTGCTTCAGTAGCTGAGCCAGGTCTACGTACTTAGGTCAGGGATTGCTGTTAACCTTGAACTCAACAGATATCCTAACGAGCCCTACGACTTCTCTGATGGCTTGTACGATTCTCGGGATGCAGGGGACGTCATCGAAGCCCAGCCGATGATCTCGAGCAGTGCGGAGGTCAAGGACCCGTACAGCTTCAACTTGAATTTCAAGGAATCTACAACGTCAGAATATTGTAATATTGCTTACGTTGTCCTTTGAAACCTACCTGATCGCTGACCTAAGGAGAAACACACCAAGGTGCTCCTGTTGATCAAGAAGCTTCTCGAGTCTCTCGGCGACATTGGACCTGGTGCCACACACGCGAACGGTCTGAAAGTATTCGTTCTCATCATCGTGTCTGAGGGAGGAGTTGACTTGGGTGATGCTCTTGAGGTCCTCTCTTTCGAGGGCCTTTGTCATGGGTCTCGCCGGCAAAACGCGCAGAAATTTCTCCATTTTGTTGATCCTTCGTAAGAGCGAGCTTAGGAAAATAACACAGAACAGATAGAAGTGTGAGGGGAGAAAGAGGGGTTCGATCGTAAGGATGATAGCTTATTGAGGTTTCTAGCCTGCGAAGGTTGACGATGATCTCTGCTGGGTTGAGGGAGAGAAAGATTATTAATAAGAGGAGGCTCTGGAATAATAAATAGCCACCTAAGGTAAAAAGAAGCAGACTAACGTGAATAAATATTATATAATGCTAAGGAAGTGCTGGCCAGGGGCAGTGAATCAGCGACTCAATGAGTGCACACTACCGTAGGTACGCTACGCATTCCGACTTCTATATTAGATATTTCTCTCTCCAATCAAATCTGTTTCTCTCCCACGCAACTTCACCAAAAAAACATCAAACCAACCTTTCAGTGAACAACAGTAAGTATTTTCATCTCCATCTTCTCTTGACCCCGTCACTCAAAGAGGGAACAGAGTCAGAATGAAGTACACACTCCTAAAGACTGAGTTACACAGGCTACAGGATGGATCTCCTGGCAATGACATCGAGTCCATCCGTGAGAAGCTCCTTTCACTCGAGGTCGCCGATATCTAACGTCTCTCCAAAATGCCCTACTTCGGAAGTCTCTGCAAGGTCCGAATCAAAAATATACACAACCAGATTATTTAATTCTGGGTCACCTCGAGATGATGCCCTGCGCCCAATTTGAGGTTCCGTCTCAGGCTGTCTACAGTCCAGCCTTCCGCTGCAACTCGACCAAGTATCTTGGTGTGACCTTCAAAGTCTGCAAAAGACAAGCTTCCCCATGAGCCTGGCTTTTGGCTCGATGATATCAACAACGCCGCGATGGATGACGCCCAGTCTGACATCGTGGCCAGCGAGACCAGCGAAACCGAGTTTCTCCAGCAAAAGTGACAGTGTCGACGACGATGATGATGACGATTATCTGGACCTTTGGCACCCTGTTGAAGGATTCGACGAGCTTGAACACCGCTGGAAGTTGTTCTCGTCGGCTGCTCTTCGCTATGCTGTGCTCTGGGGCGACTACATCCGACAGCCATATCTTTGAAATCATGAACGCTCAGGCCAAGGCTTATTTCCCTGAAGCCCTCTACCTATACAGCCACTTTGTTCCACAACTCCCCATCGACGACAACCAAGACATAAATGCTAGCTCGGAAGAGAGCGGATATGACGCCAAGTCTGTCAACCAGGAGAGCCCTGGCGTCTGCTCTTTGGATAATGGACTCGGGCGATGATGAGTCTGTCTCCTAGGAAGTCATTGAAGTTCTGGGCATTGATTCCAGCCTAGATGACAGTGACTATGAGCCGTGAGCTCTAGACTAGTAGATCATCAGTTTCCATGGGCAAGTCACTGAGGCGACAGCAACTGAAGGGGAGGGGCGGGCTGAGTGATATTTCCCAAAGTTGTCTTGTGTAGATCCTCTGACCACGGCAACGAGACCATCCTTGAGAAGCCCCTTTTACTCAAGGTCACCGATTACCGACGTCTCTCTCAGAAGCCCGACTTCAGAAGCCTCTGCAAATACCGAATGAACCAGATTGGAGTTCCCACAAAGAGGGCAAAATGGAGTACTGCCCTTGGACCGGCAACCGCACTATGGGGGCTGCCCAGCAGTATATCATCGCTTGGGTCATTTCCGCTCTTCAGGCGGTTCATGCTTGTCAACGCATGCGTGATGAGTTCCATGATGGGATCGACTCCAATTGAGATGAGGAGATGGCAGATGGGGAGGATAGCAACTGAGTGCTGGACTAAACTGGCCATGGGCAAGGCTATGGATTCTCTGGTGGACCAATATCGGGACTGGTGGTAGCAACTGCAGACAATACACGCATAGCATTCCGCCAAATGAATTCAATTTGTATCAAAATGGAACGCCTATTATAGATTGCTTCTTATCAAGACCTCTTAAACGGCCATGGGGCAAAGTGCCTTTGAATACTTGGGCAGCGCCCACCTGCCGCAACCTCAACATCTCAAACAAGAGCGGCCCAAGTGCTGGCCATAGAAATGCTATAAGCACCAAGACGCCCCCTGTTGCCATTGTATAGTTCCTGTTCTCCATGAGTAACATGGCATGAACAATACAACGCTGGTCTTGGCGGAAACACCACCGCGAACAATAATAATGGAATCAACAATCCATGCTGGTAGGTAGATGAGTTTACGAAGCATCGTCACTACGCTGAGTACTGAAGGGGCATAAGCCGTTGATCCAAATTCCCATACTCTACTTGAGCGTCTGATATGTTTACACGAAAGCGCCATAGTCCGGGGAGCAAGAAAACTTCTGGCGTTGACCCAAGTGTTGAATTGACTGGTCTAAATTCCTACTAAGATATACTAAACTTACCTAAGTCTTCTCATCAATTAGGATAGAGGTCCTAAGTTTAGGTCCAACTACCGACAGCCCGAAGATACGGGTTAACATGCCGTGACGTTGAACTACAGGTTAAGCCATGACGTTACGGATGTTTCAAGATCGGAGTAGAATTCAGACAGTAATCACGTGCAAGCTCATGCAAACAAGGGTCCTGGATGATTCCAAAACATCCATGCATATCAGATCGAGGGACCACACTACGCCGCAGATGCTTACGTCCGACCTGAGCTCCGAACTTGCTAACTTGTAACTGGGTTGCGACACAAGAGCATGAGAATGATTGGCCACAATAGTGCAATTGTTTCTGAAGAACTTTCGCATCCAGAGAGCTGTTTCTGGCAGCCGTTGAGATGCAAAAATACGGTTGAGATTTCAGCGATTGATAACTGGACTTGACCCATTGGGACGAATAATTGCCATTGATTGGTCGAAACCGACGTGAATGCGCTGTGTGGCAAACTCCGAATCTTGGTCTAAATCCGGGGGCGGGGAGAATTTCGACAGGACCGTGTGGTTGTGGCTCGGGGATAAGGCAATGGCTGCAGCAGAGTTGAACGGGGCGTTGTTAGGAGTCAGAAACAGTCAACTATGAGGTCATGAGGCTTGTCAGTCGAAGCATAACCAAGTTCATGGTCTCGAGTCAATTCTGCATTGTGATTGATACATGAGTCCAAGGCCGGCCATTACAGTAAGTAAACGACATTCTGTCGCAGTCGGAGGAGGATAATGCCGTCGGTTTAAGAGGAATCGCCACTGTCAAACAAGAAAAGGCCGAGAAAGGGGGAGAATACTTGAGAGACTCGTGCACGACGTCGAAGGGCGTGCATGTCAACTAATAAGATCTGCCGAAAACGTTCGGGTATAAGTCGCTGGGTCGGTCACAGGCAAAGTGCCAATGGATGAAAGCTGATGGGCAAACGGCTTTTTATTGTGAGTCAGAGCCTCCTCCAGACGATAGAGAAGAGAGAAAAGACGGACGGACAACAACATGCTCATGGCTCGTTTTGGCATGGCCTAGATGGGCTTTTTGTTTCGTCCTCTCTATTGTAAGATATTCATGGGTCCCGAGGACCGGTAGCCCCGGCTGACAAATGCAACTTTGACGCTATTCGCACTGTCGAGAGTTCACGTTCCTGTACCCAGCCTCTCTCGGAAACTCGCTGACCCCCACCCAGGATGGTTCCTGTTCAGGGTCTAGTGAGCTGATGGAAGAATGAACTAGAAGGAATCTTTGTGACTCAGGCAGCAAATTTTCTAGTCGGACGCTCCGCATTGGACCCTTGCTTGGCCTTGCCTGCCTACCTGCTTGCCTTTGCTTGCCCTGCTAGGCTCTGGGTACGCGTAGATACAGTACCTACAGTGCGATTCAAGTCCAGCGCCCGCTCAGCTGCCCCCGCTCTACCTACTACTGCAGCCATCCATCTCACTCGATTTCCCTTCCTCGCCCATTCTTGGCTCCGCCTGACACCAGAAACCACCGATTTCATCATCAATCTTACATACTGTTACCTTACATACCATAGTAGCTTCAGTTTCTATCCTGTCCTTTGCGGCCTGAATCCGAAAACTCCGTTCTTCTTATTATTCAACTTTGCCTCTCTTCTCATCGCCGTTTGACAATTAGTTATATGCCAGCATCATAACCCAGCCAGCAGAAGCCCGCCCCGCTCGTCTAGGTCCCCGACGTCGCCGCTACACAGGCTTCAGGCACAGACAGCTTCTGGTCTGGCTCTTTGTCCCCTCCTGCGTGAGCCTGGACTGGCAGAGAGCTTGAATCTATAATCAAGACGCCCGGCATCAGTTTCGTCTGTCTCGATTTCAAATCGCTCCTCAACGTTACGCCTCCTTTCGATCGCCCGTTTCATATTTCGCGATGGCTTCTACCGGTACTGGGGGCACTTTGCCACCCAACTTTCTCTTGACCCCGCAACAGCAGAACCTGCTCTTTGCTGCTCTCAACTCCAACAAGCAGCAGCTCTCTGGTTCTTCCGTGGACAATTCCCTGACAGTTTCTCCTACGACGTTCCGCAATTCTGCTGGCCAGCAAAAGCCCGCCACCGCTACAGGCTACCAGGAGAGTCCCTTCCTCGATAACTACGACTATGACTTCGGCGATTCTGGTTTCGACTTCTCCTTCGCCAGCGAGGACCAGCCTTCCATGATTGGAGATCTTCCCGCTGCTTCCACGGAGCCCAACAACAACTCTGGTTCTGTCGCTCTGTCCGACTCCCCAGAGACCGATACCCCAGAGAAGCGCAGCTACCCTGATGACGAGGATGATGAAGATAGCCCTGGTGGGGATCACAAGCGCCGTGAGAGTACCGACAAGGTTCCTAAGAAGCCCGGTCGTAAGCCTCTTACATCCGAGCCCAGCTCGGTACGTTTTATCAATTGATTACATATAAAGTGTATTACTTACTAATCCATATAATAGAAGCGCAAGGCTCAAAACCGAGCCGCTCAGCGTGCTTTCAGAGAACGCAAGGAGAAGCACTTGAAGGACCTTGAGACAAAGGTCGAAGAGCTAGAGAAGGCTTCGCAGGCTGCCAACCATGAGAATGGCATGCTTCGAGCTCAGGTTGAGCGCATGACAGCTGAACTCACTCAGTATAAGCAGAAGGTCACAGTGATGTCAGCTACCAAGTCACTGCCCAGAGAAAAGGTCCCTTTCGGCAGCGCTGCCGTCAGCAACCTCAGCGATGTCAACTTTCAGTTCGAGTTTCCCAAATTTGGCATGCTTCCAGGACCACCTGTTAGCAAGACTGGCTCATCACCCACAAGCCCGGATCAGCAAAAGATCACATACCCAAGCCCTACCAACAGTCTCAACAACAACGTGCAATCCGCACAACAATTCAAGGACGACTTGGCCAAGTTCTCGGGTGTCTTCAGCCCTTCCATGGCAAGCTCTGCCACCAACCCCTCTCGTGCGAGTGTTGACTCTGCAAGCTACAGCGTCAATGGCGCTTCCAGCTCCCCATCTGCTTCATCTCATTCCAATACTGGCCCCAGCTCTTCTTGCGGAACATCACCCGAGCCTTTCAACCAGTCTCCCATGGGCTTCAAGCCTGTTGATACGATGGCTACCATTGGCGAGGAGCAGACACATCCGAACAGCAGTAACAACCCCAGTCAGTTCGGCAACATTGATCTCAACAGCACCAACTTTGACTGGCTGTCACAACAGAACGGTGGACAGTTTGACCCACAGCTCTTTGGTGATTATCGCGAGCCTCAAGAAAACGTCTTGGCAAACCCATCTTTCGACGACTTCTTTAACGATGCTCTTGACAGCGATTTCTTTACTCCTTACAATATGGCTCCTAACAGCCCCAGCGCGCATCTCAATGGCCAGGCCAAGAAGCCATCGAACCTCATTGATCAGATTGATGCTCAAAAGGAGTCCGATGACGAACCTCTTAAGAAGCAGAACATGAACTGCAATCAACTGTGGTATGTATCAACTTGTAGAATCAGGAAATGTCTGTCTCTAACACGTTTCCACAGGGAGAAACTTCAAGCCTGCCCCAAGGCACAGAATGGTGAATTCGACCTCGACGGCCTCTGCTCCGAACTTACCAAGAAGGCCAAGTGCTCTGGCACTGGTCCTGTGGTTGCTGAGACCGACTTTGACACCATTCTGCAAAAGTATATGGGCAAAGACGTCTCCAGTAGTTGTGTCGCCCAACAGTTGGGTGTGGAAATAAAGTCGAGTGACCCAAACCAAGATAAGCATTTTGGCCTGCCAATTTGAGACCAGGTTTATTATGAACAAAGATTCGGCTGTACACTACAAACTTCGGCGGCATACCCAGCACACAGCTACACAATGATTAAGGCGTTTACAACAGACAGGATGGGATCGGAAAACCAAGGGATTCCGGCGCTTGATTTACCTCCGTCAACGGAATTGGATGCATGGAAAGGAGAAAGGATGATCTATGGTATGATTATATAGCATGCCATGAAATCTTCGACCTGTTAACTCAGCTTGAAATTTCTTTTGGGCTTTACTTATGCTTTGTTTTTGGATGGACCTTTTTTTGCTGCTATGAATAATTATGACTTATTTCTGGTTTCAACTGTCAGGGGCTTAACAGGGGATATTTGATGATCACTGTGACTTGGCAACGCACATGCTGATCAAAGATGTACATCAAAGGGACTATTCAACTTTCATTACTACGTGAAGAGATCAATGTGTTGGAGACGCTTTTGTGATATGAGTATTAGTATTCAAGGATATAAATTGCACCCTACAACAGCAAGTTTGAGCCAATCTGCAACATCCAGACGCTGCAAGCGCCAGTAAATTGAGATCTAAGAAGTTTCAAACGCAAGTAGAAGATCGCCGTGACATCATCTTTGAGGCCATCGTTGACTGAAAACTGTTGTGGTTTTTATCATGACATCTAATCTTAGTCATCAAGTGGAGCCAGGTGATCGCGACAAGGAAGCTTTAGCCGGACCAAACCATCTTGAACAAGTCGTACTCAACTTACAACAACTTCTCCCATGTCCAGTAGTGATTGCTTGTTTTTTGTTTATGGCCTCTAACAGGGATTCGTTGAAAATATTTTGACAGTCTCGATTCGAGCCTTGCACAAATAACGATCTCCGATACTTCACAATGCCAAAAGAGAAGAATTACAACCCCGTGCAGGCCCAGCGCAAAGCTGACAAGGCGAAAGCTCTCAAGAAAGGTGAGATGAGTCCTGATGATCGCATTGGACATTCTAACTGGAAACGTAGGCAAGCATGAACGACAAGAACGCCTAAATGAGAAGCTATCGCGAAAGAACCCCGAGCGCATTCAAAAACAGATCGACGACCTCAAGAAAATCACATCAAGCGGCGGCAAGCTTACTCGTCATGAGGAACAGACATTAGAAGGGCTCGAAAAGGAACTCAAAGCAGTGAACAAGGCGAGAGAAGCTCTTGGCGACAAAGCACCAACATTCAGTCGAGGATGGAACAGAGATCACGACTCAGGATCTAGGGTATTAGGGAAGAGGCGCAGAGGTTCTAATGATGCTACGACTAGCGACGATGAGGTTCCCGACGACGTCAAGAGTATTCCTATGCCTCGAGATACACCCCCGCCGATTCCCAAAGAGGTCATGGACAAATGGTATGCCGAACGACGAGCAAGGAGGGAGGCGGAGAACCCTACAAGGCCGGATGGCGAGGACCAACACCAAAAGAAGGAAGCGCCAGTCGTCGAAGCGAAAACAGTATACGAGGCCAAGCCTGTGGTGCGCGATCTCAGAAAAGAGGCTGTTTCGGCATTTGTGCCTACGGCAGTCAAGATGAAGATGAACAAGGGTCAAGGTCAAGGAGGGTTAATAGAGCCGGAGGAAGCAGATCGACTAGAACAAGAGGGCTATCTCAAGACGGCAGATCGCAACGCGGAAGCACGACCCGATCAAGGCCAATCGTCACGGCATGTGACCATGGAGGATGTGGAAGACGAAGAAGCTTGATTCTGGAGAGGAGGTTAGTTCAGCCAGCGATGGTGCCATTGATGCAATTGACAGATAGTAATGCATAATTCCCCGACCAAAAGCATCCCAAAAAGGATATAATTGGGCGAACCCATTCAATCACGACTTTTCAAGCCTATCAGAAGAGCGATGTGACTCAGACCAACAGCGAGTTCGAGGGGCTTGAGGCCGGTTAAGATAGCGGCATAGGGATAAAGCTGGGGTAGAGAGGACCCATCTGACCACCCACAATTCAATGACGGAGGACCAAGTGCGTTGACTATCTTGACCGACAATGTATGTTGCTCGTTTCCGAGGAAAGATGGCGAATTGGGCTGCATTAACAATGGGACTTGTCTTGAGAAGGCGTCTACCATGCTTTGGGCTTAGACCCAACAGGTCAGGTCTCTCTCAGTTGAGTTGGGATTTACGACCGTATATATCCGTGTAGAGGGTGGAGCTCAAGGACCTTGACGAGCAAATGATGAGTTTTCATTACTCTCATGTCAACGAGAAACTCGACCACTACGGCAATTCAGGCCGCACTCCGAAAGCGGGCCTGGCTTTTTCGACCCGGGGGCCACGCCGAAATCCGATCGTTCTTATATTTAAGCATGTCTAATCTTTTTGTTTTCGCCTCCGAGTGTAGTCTTCAACTCCATGTCTGATATGCTGCGACAGTTGTAAAAGAAAGGAAGAAAGAAAAGCGTGTTAGGTATTTGGGGACGGAAAAGGAAACATTACGATTGCTCAAATAATGGATTGTCACCAAGTCACATCTCGCGCCCTCTACGAGGATGACGAGATCAACGACCATGTCAACCAGATCGACCAAGGAAACGAAACCAACGCAAAATCAGGAGCCGATCTAGAGAAGCAACCGACTGCAGCATCGACGGCGTCGTTCCAGGAAACGTATCCCGAGGGCGGCTTGCAGGCGTGGTCCGTGGTCGCTGGTTCGTGGTTCTCTCTATTCGCTTCGCTTGGACTAATGAACACCCTCGGCACTTTTCAGGCCTATGTTCTCGACAACCAACTCACGGAGTATAGCGAGGGTACCGTTGGTTGGATATTTTCCATCTACACCTTTCTCGCCTTCTTCTGCGGTGTGTACATTGGTCCTGTCTTTGACAAGTATGGTCCGAGATGGCTTGTCATTGCCGGCGCTGTGTTCACCGTTGGCGGTATGATCTTTATGAGTTTTGCAACTGGTAAGTTTCTCTTTGAGATTGTGGTTTTGATGTGCTGACTGTCATAGAACTCTGGCACTTTGTCGTCGCCTTTGGCCTCCTCTGTGGTTTTGGATCATCGCTGCTCTTCACCCCATCGATCGCTGCTGTAGGCCACTTCTTCAAGGCTCGCCGTGGACTAGCGACTGGCGTTGCATCTACTGCTGGTGGAATCGGCGGTATCATCTACCCCTTCATGCTGACGAGGCTAATCGAAAAGATTGGTTACGGATGGGCCACTCGAGTCATTGCTCTCATCTGCCTTTGCTGCAGTTTGATCGGTATCTGTCTTCTCAAATCTCGGCTTCCACCCGCCAAGGACGCTACTGCGCACCCCAACTTTCTCATCTTCAAGAGTCTGCCTTTCCTCTTCACCACGATCGGCGTCTTCATGTTGGAGTTCTCCCTCTTCATTCCTCTCGGCTACATCTCGACATATGCGCTACACAAGGGCTTCGGAAAGGACTTTTCCTACAACCTCATCCCCATCCTCAACGCTGGTTCGGTCATCGGTCGACTTTTGCCTGGCTACTATGCCGATGTGATCGGTCCTTTTAACGTCAGCATCCTGGCTGTGATCCTTGCCATTGTGGCCTGCTTCTGCGTATGGCTACCTCTTGGTGGAACCACAGCTGGTGTCATTATCTTCACCGTACTGTTCGGTTTCTCTTCTGGAACATCCATTGCCATTGCGCCTGTCTGTATCGGTCGACTGTGCAAAACGCAAGAGTATGGGCGTTATTATGCTACGGCCTATACAATCGTGTCTTTTGCTTGTCTCATCGGTATCCCCATTGGTGGTAGCATCGTCCAGGCCAATGGTGGTGAATACTGGGGTCTTATCATCTTGACTGGTGCCGTTTACGTGGCATCTATGATCTCATTGTTCCTGGCCAAAGTCACTCTCTTGGGCTGGCACAACTGGAAGGCTGCCCTTTGAACATTCATCGAGCGCATCAGCGTCTAACGGGATCAAACCTCGAGACTGAAGGGCTGTCGTCTTTTATCGAGGACTGAACACAAAATTATGACACCATAAAAAGTATTGCTATTATTATGGGAAAGGAGTTTGGATACTAAAAAAGAGTTGAGATTGTCAATATCATTGTTGCGAGTCTTTGTACATAGATACCATAGTACGTAGGAAAATATAATAGTTATTGTTTTGTATGCTTGTGCTCACCTCGTTGTTATGAGCCTTCTATCTGGGTATTCCTTATTTATCTTGAACCCAAGGACACGGCCTACTTCTGTTTCTGTGCCTTGATATGCTCACCATGAAGCTCTTGTACCGCGGGAATAATGAGCGATTCAATCTCAACATCTGGTTCTTGACTTGGCAGCTCCTCTGCCACAAGCGGCCTGCCCTCAGCTTCTCCCCAACCGCCCTCTCTCGGCACACGCACCCAGTTATCTTCCCTCTTAGGACTCACAAACACGACTTCCCACTTGCGCGTGGATAAAAGGTTTCCAATGACGAGGTGATGCTGATATCGATCAAGACTGTAGCGAGCCTTGCGAACAAGAAGCGCTGGGTCCGTCTCAAGCTTGAAAGACACAATCATACCCTCTGGCGCCCATCCATCCACGAGGTTCTTGAGAAACTTGGGGACAGGGTCGAGATCGATGACGAGGCGCTTTGAGCGTGGGACAGAAGGCGATGAGTCAAAGTTATCAAAAGTCTCTTCATCGTCTGGTCGCTTCTGCTCAACAGCGTTGGTTGACTGGATCTTGTGCTCGGCCATGCGATCAGGAGGAACGAAGAAGTCCGACACGGCTGCGGCGAGGTAGAGAAGACCTGACGGACCAAGAGGGCGCATGAGTCGGGCAATTTCTCGCAGCTCATGGAGATAGTCGACAATAGTGACAAAGGGCAGGGTGAGAAGCATATTGTCATCCCTCGCCTTGCGATACTTTCTCAACACCTCCTGCATCTTATCCTGCACCTCACTCCTCACACCAATTCTTCCACTTCCATCTTCAGTCAGAAAGTCCAAGAAGCAATCGGTAGCATGCGAATAGTGTCGCGAGTACGGCAGCAGACTGAACTGACGATGGAGGAAGATGACGGCATATCCAGCTTCGAGAAAGTACTCGGCGCTCGTAGCACCACGAGTTCCAGCACTGAAGTTGTCAATGTACCGAACAGTCTGCTTCTCAAGAGGGACGGTAGTGCCGCCCGATGTGACGAGGACAACACGACGGCCTGCGGCGGCGTGAGAGGAGATGAAGCCAGCGGCGAGAGCTGTGTGGGCTGATAAATTGCGCGGAGGAGGGTTCTGAGCAAAGTATGTCTGCTCGGAAGCGAGGGCCTCAGCAGCGGTGTTGGCAGGTGTAGCCATTTTGTTTAGCGTTTCTGAAGTGAACGCAATTCAGGCTGTGTGTGACCAATGATTTGGCCAAGGTGAATGATTGAACAAGCTCCGGGGCGGAGATGCGGAGGTCCGGGCGGGCGGCGGCGGGGTTTGGTCTTTGAGACCCGGATCCGGAGACGGAGACTAAGGTAGTGAGACGGAGAAAGCCTGATAGGAATGATAGTGAGATGATGATACAAGAATTGAGAGAGGATGAGGAAGTGGAAATTGAGAGTTATTTATGTTTAGGTAGTCTCTGGTTCTTTAGTAAAATGCCCCATCGACTGTGACGGATACTACTTACGCATTTATCATCCCGGTGGGTTTTGAAGCTGTGAGTCTGCTCTGCCCTGCAGCCTGCAGCTGTCAACGCCTGACCCTTCTGTAGTGTTGACCCTGTACATTAAAGTCACTCGGCTTATCTTTTATAAGAAATGACTGAATTGCTCTTACATGGGACTGAATACCTATGTCATCATTTCAATCGTTCGTCTCCAGAAGGCAACGATTACTGATAAGCTACAGTATACCTCGGTAACTAGTGCACTATCTCGGATCATATCATGTTCATTCCTGAGAACTGCCTATGAAAGCGACACTTGTTCCAAGCAATCCGATGCTGTTGTAATTGCTCTTAAGTTACTACAATTCTCAAGTTTGTTGCAAAGGCTCTATTACTGACACCCTATCAATCCGAGTTCATTTGAGCGAGAGACGTACAGGGCAGTGATGCGTAGAGGCGGAGAATGAGAGAAACCTCAGCAATCTCCAGGTAATGAAGATCACAGTACAGGCTCTTGCAGATCCGCGAGCCTACACAGAAAAGGGTCTCTCAGAGAATACATCCTCATGATGATCTCATTCTTGGAGTCAATACAATTCGTGCGTCTAGAACATGTGCAGGCTTAGCTGCAAAGGTTTTAAATGAAATTATTATGCGATAAATACTACCATTATGTGGGATATCAGACTATTAACCAATGCAAACATAAACAAGCCTCCATCCTATGCCAATAAACAACCGCAATTGCGCCCAACACCATACTGTGCTTTCATCATCCATGAAACATCACTCCTCCTTGTCCTTGTTCTCCTCATCCTCATCATCCTCAGCTCCCCAGTCTCTCCATCCCTGGCCCTGAAGCCAGCTAACTCCCTTTCGCCAGTTGGTCTCGCGGATTGCTTGGGCATCCTTCTCGTAAACAACACCAGTGACCATGAGTGCCAGCATGAAGACCCAAACATCGCCACCCTTCATGCTCTTCCACCAGCGACGCTTCACACCAACCTTCCAGAGGCTGTCGACACTGGCGCGGGCGCTGTACAGGAACAGCCCACGGCCATTTCGTCGCTCAACGAATGCCCAAAGACCAGCGAAGAAACCACCGAGGAAGACACGCTGAGTCGCGAGGACGTGGCGTGGAAGCCATTGCTGGAAGAAGCAGATCGAGGCCCAAGCTGTAGAGAGCGCACCTGTCGCAAAGGTAGACATGCGGAGGGCCTTGGTGATGATGCGCTGGAGGGTAGCCAGAGGGTTGTGGTAAAGGCTGGAGAATCGGGGAATGACGGTGAGCGCAGAAAAGACTGCGACGAAGAAGCGAGCAAATGGTGGGAAAGTCTGAAGCCAGAAAGTGAGATAAGTTCGGGCACAAGATGGGTCTCCCGGGTGCAAGGTGGCGCATGAGAGAGATGTGATAAGAGGATGAGCTCGAGATGTCAGTGGCGCAATTGCACTGAGACTGGGAGGAAGAACCTCCTTGCCAGGGAAGAGAGTGGGGGAAACATAGGCACTATGACAGTCAGTATAAAGTCTTTTTCTCAGGGCTTGTCAACTTACGGCCAGCTCAGTCGCGCCATTTGAGCCAAGCTGTCAACGATCTCAGAAGTCTGAGGCCACTTAACGCTCGACGTCCAATCTTGCGGGCGCGGATGCAAGTAAGCCGATGAACTCTTGAAGATCAAATCTCCAAAAGGCTTGGGGAAGCAATCGCGATCGAAAACAGCAGCGTGAAGAAGCTGTCCAAAGGCAAATGGCTGCAACATCCAGCTTCCGAACCACCAAGGCCTCTCCCTCTTGACGCCGTTCTTTCGGCCCCAGATGAGGCCATCAGCCTCACAGAAGTTGTAGGCAAACTCCAGAGCACGGAAGATCGTGTAAATGGCGATAGTGACACGCATCTTTTGCGCTGGGTAAATGCCAAGAGCCAGACCAGCGAATGAGGCACCGATGGCGGGTGCAGAGGGAGATGTCAGCATCGCTGCAGTTCGGGGATTGCGCGCACGGAAAGGCTCGACTTGAGGGTCGAGCAGATGTACACGCAGTCGAGTGAAGAAACGGAAGAGGATTCTGTAAAGGAGAAGAATGGTAGAAAGCGAAATAGACAGCCTCAGAGCAGGAGATTTGTAAAACGGCTTCTTTTTGCCGCCAGTGCTGGGTCTGTCAAGAATCATTAGCCATTTGCGCACTTATTTCATCAGTGAGCTACTCACTCTTCTTTGCCCATCCTCTTCGCGACAATACCCCATCCTTTCATACCGAGAAAAGTCATCACGAACACCCTGAGCGCATGTCGCACTGTCCTGGCGTTGTAATCATCACCACCTTTTGGTGGCTGCAGCGCCTTTTCAACACGGTTTGGCGTTGGTGTTGCGCGACGCAGCACGCGGGATCGAGAGAGGATGTACTTGTGCAGACTCGCATATTCGTGAGCTGAGATGGTGTAGCGCAATGTGTTTCGAAGAACAGGGTCGTTGACAGCTCTTGATCGCGAGCTCGAGGCATCGCCTGAAGAGACGGAGGATTCCATTGTGATTAAGGAGCGGATGTTGTTGTTGTTGATGATGATAAAAGGATCGTGTTTGGTTCAATTTATGGCGTGTCTGCGGTTCCACGAGCTGAGGTCCAGCGACGCATTCGAGCAGTAGCTCCGAGGAGAGGCATCAAGTAAATGAATAAACCAATTTATGTGAATCAGAAATGACCTGGACTTGGTTACACAGCTTCAGTGCTGAGGGGTCCAGATCGAAGCTCTCACATCAAGTCTGTTTGTTGATGAAGTGAAGTGACGAATGGTGGGAGGCACGGAAGGGATGAAATCACAAGAACTTGGAAATGAGCAAGACGACGTAAAGTGGAGAATTCGACCTCGGCTCTTGGTCTAAGCTGACCTTGCCCACTATCTTTTGATATCGAGACCCTGCTAAGGCTATCCCAGTTAATTAAAGCAATGCTCAATTAGCGAATGAAGACACGCGATGTCGCTGCTTATGGAGTCGTCCAACAGGGGTTCCCCGCCCTCGGTAGCTAAGTTGCTCTTCTCCAGCCGTACATCGCCATCACATGAAATTCATCTACACGTTCAACTTTCTGAACTACCTAAAGAGGCTTGACTCCCGATAACACGCCCACTATGCGCATGAAAAAAGGCATATCGTCATAAGGCACTTCACGTACAACGCATAAGTCAGTCTGGGGTATCAAACCAGTCGTAAAAAGGCTACCTAATGCTATCTCTCAAATGAGAGACATCAACGACGCATACTCCATTTAATGCCGAAACTACCGTCCTTTTTTAACTTCCAAAGTCACTGACTATCATTCATCATAACCCCTTCATATCAGTCCAGCCTGGTCCCGTCTGGTCCCGTCTGGTCCAGTTCCAGGCCATTGATGCCAGCCAGACCCACGACAAGTGAGATTGAACCACCGGCCCTAGCAATATGGAATCATTAAATACTTTTTGTTTTGTTTTTCCTTCCCGTGCCCCCCCACCAAAGTTTCCATTCGTTAAAAACATTCCTCGCTTTAAAGCAACCAATGTTGACATGCCCCCCAACGCCGTTCATCAACCAAAACTCTCCAAGAGCATCATATCCTCTCCCTAGTAAGCAGGATCACGGACGCCACCCTTTCATCCCGAAATCAAAAGTACTAGCTTTTGTCGAAAGACTGAGAAGTCAGCCTCGGCTTCGTTTGCCATGTTTCTGCATATCGCCCTCCCGATTATCCAGCATCAACATAACCCACGATATCATTCATCAAATTGGAAAATCTGTAGCGTGAACCCAGTTGCTTAGGGGTAAGCTGCTTGAGTGCTTGCTTGAAGGCCCACGAAGGGAACCCAGGTCCGACCAAGGGCCGGGCTCTCTGAGGGTCCAAAAGGCAAAATCTCCTCGCGCCAGCCCAGCGCACTCCAGAGACCGACGTATCTCGGCTCAGGACTGGAGAGCTGTTGGGTAATGACGGCCCAGGCTGTGACCTGTTGAGTCTTGACCAGTTCAACGATCTGAAGCCGACGTCGCTCTCTCTCAGCTACTGTGTCTTTGACCACGCGGTAGATCGCCTCGGCATTTGGCCATCCGTTGGCCTTGTTAGTTGCAGCCTCGAGCAGCGCTTTAAGAGTTTCGAATGGAAGGTTAAGGAGAATCCGAGAAAGTACTGCATTGAAAGGAGTTCGTTGCTGTGAACCGCCTGAAGCATCCGAACCTGGCGAGACCTTGCCGTCAGTCAAAGAAAGATCACCGAACTGAATGCCAGAAATCTGTTGAGAGAGACGCCCCTTGCCCTTGCCAAGATGCACAGATGTGCCTCGAGCAATGGGTGGGGGCGAGAGCTTGCGGGTATTGGCATTGCTAGTCAGGGCAGTTTGAGGAAGACGAGCATAGCTCGACGTGTCGGTCACTGAAGTGTCAATCTTGAAAGTAGGGCTGGTGTTGCTTGCGATGAAAGAAACGATCTCGTTGAGAATAGCTCGAGATCCATCGCCGTACTTGAACACGTCATAAGACCCCTCGTCTCGGTGGTCCTCCAGGGCAAACTCCAAAGCCTTCTCAACTGTCTGCCAGGTCAGAAGTTGCACAGCAACCTCGCAACCGCGTCGCATGACCGGATCCCAGCGGAGGAGATGGCCGGCTGCAGCATACGAAAGAGCAAATTCGAACCGGTCAATCAACTGGTTGTAATCAGCCGCAGCTTGCTTCATGCCCTCAGCAGCAGGGTCCAAGAGTGGCCATCCGTAAAGACAATGAACGGCCATGTAGAACGAGTTGGACCGAATCCACTTGCTCTTTGTCTCGAGAAGGATGGTGGGAAGAGATGGATCATTGGGGTTAGATCCGGACTGCTTAGCGATGCCATTTGCGAGCTCGGTACTGCGAGAAAGGATGATTCGGTGGCCCGGAATGCGAACTGGAGGAGCTCTTTCATCTGCGTATCGAAGCTCCAAAACGCAGTCAGCAAATTCGGGAGATGAAAACTGTTGCACCAAATGACCAATCAGACCTTCAGCACCCTCCATTGAAGACATCATGTGCGGGGGAGGTCCGGCATTCGGCATCATTCGCGGATACTCGGGTCCACCAAACATTCTGCCTGGCTGGTTGGGAGACTGAGTGTCATCTGAAGCAGGTACGCCGTTTCGCGCTGGAGCTGAAGAAAACTGGTTGTAGACACTACCATCGTCAGGAGGACCTGATGCCTGCGAATCATGATAGCTGTGTGGGGTTGGGGGGCCAAAACTGTTAGGGAAGGGGGGAAAAGAGTCCATCGGTCCGTAAGCCATAGTAGGTCTTCCGTAGTTATCGAAAGTAGTAACTGGAACCTGTTCTGCGCCATACGGCATCATAGGGGGAAAGCCGTTGGCACCAGGGGCCATGTAGGGTCGACCATCAGGACCTGTCATACCGGGAGGAGGGGCAATACCACCGGATGGAGGAGCAGGAGAGGAGCTCGTCGAACCGTGGAAAGCGCCAAAATGGATGCTGCCATTGCTGTGATGAGGCTGGTGCATGGGCGGACCATTAGGCAGAGGAGCGCGATGGCCACGCATATCGCCGTTCACGTTTGGTCCCATAGGTCGAGCAGCAGGCTGAAAGGAAGGGGGCATCTGGTATCGGCCCGGTGGGACAGCAGAAGGAGGTCGGCCTTTGTTGGTTTTTGAAGGTGGATGGTTGTCTAAATTCGAGTTATGAGAATTTGGAAGGGCTTGAAAAAAGTCTGAGTGTGGTTGCCTACCAGACAGAGATTTGATGTCGCTCTTGTTTGAAACACCATTCGGCTTCTCGTTCACTCCGCTTGAAACCTTGTCGACTGATCGAGCCTCAACATCGACCTGGTTCTTGGGGGTGGGCTGATCAGAATGGCCTGAGACCACGGGGTTTTTGTGGATGTTCTCGCTCTCGTTGATGGTGGGAGGATGTTCAGGACCAGATGCGGCTGTAATGAAAGAATTGTGGGTTAGTAAAGGGTCTCGGGGTGCATTTTGAGAATAAGCATGTCTGAATTACTTACAAGAAGGAGCCTGGGTGTTGGTCGGGTCAGAAGCGCCGTTCTTTGTTTCTTTGTGAGCGTCTGCCTTTGTTTCGGCCACCTCCTCAACTTTGGAGGTCGAGGTCGAGGTCGAAGTCGAAATTCGACTAGCAATTGTGCTTGGGACCGTAGCCACAGAATCATCTTTCTTAGCCTCAGCAGACACGTTACCATTTACATGCTTCACCTCAATGGGAGAGCGCACATCCGGTTCCTGGATCGTGGTGGAGGCAGCAGTCGAGGAAACGGGGACAGCATTGGCACGAGCAGCAGCAGAAGCGGCCTGACGCTTCACATAGGGCAGTGGGATAGCAGGCATGACAGGCTTGGAGGACTGAGAGAGCTTGCTCCCGCCATTTCGGCGAGTCTTCATATTGCCGTTTTGGGGCGCCATTTCATGGACGAGGTCGTTGACGGTTCGGCGGGGAAGGTATCGGCGGGCGATCAGCTAGCCAGCGCCAGGCCTCAACAGAGGATTCGGAGGGAGGAGGGCTCTACGGATCTAGAGGAAGAGGCATGGAGAGCAGACGTCTTCGTTATGACTGAAGTGCCCTTTTGTCGATTCTGGGCTGAAGGGCGAGGTAGTTGGCCGTGGATCGGAGGCGAACTGGCGATGCACTAGAAATGAGGGTCCAGGTGCAGCTATTTGTGCGGAGACGAAGAGCTCAAGTAGGAGCGGATTTCGATGACGGGTGTGTATCGTAAGGAGGGTGAATTAAGGAATGAAACGCAGCAAACCACAGGGCTTAGAGGAGATAAGGGTGCTGTAGGGGTTGATGAATAGGGAGTATTATGCTGTGAGAATTTCACCAACCTGGAAACCCGGATGATGATGATGTCGAGGAGGTGCTTCCAATGGCTTCCAAAGGATGGAGACGAGAGTCGCAAGGTAACAAAAATTGGGGCTTTCGTCACAATTTTTCTTATAGGTACCTAGACCAGACCTCAGACCTCCCCGCCGTGCCGTAGGTGCCCGCGTCAAGACTTGCGCTAAACTTCAGGGGCCTTGAGTGGGCTAGCGCAGCCAACAATACTCCCGCCCGCCGGATAGTAACCAACAAATAAAGGTTGAGCTTCTACGGCGAACAGTCATCAGCCGGCTTCCGACATTTAACTCTGATTGCATGGGGCCTTGTTTGAGGGTTGATAGGCTGGGCTTCTTGTTTGTCTACGGAAACTTATGCCAGTTGCCTCCCAAAAGCACGGCTGCCTGCTTGTTTCCGCCTGACTTTACGTACCTCAACTCATTCTCGCGGACGGGTACACACTTGATACAAGGAGCACTGTTGCATGTTGGTCTACATGTTTGATGAATTAGAGTCTCTACCCGATAAATCACAACAGCTGCAGGCAAATGAGCTGATGACAATCAAATTGAACCCCATCATGTAAACGCTCATTGAATGCCCTGAAACGCCAGATCGAGACGCGAGTCCTGATATCTGGCTTGTTAACCTATTGCGCCCGCCAGTCCGTCCGTAATAAAACAAAAACTAGAATTAGAAGAACAAGAAGCGCTACCCGAATACAACTCTCCCCAATCATTCTTCTCCGCTAACAAGTCTAGCGACAAGGACGTAGAAGAAGAAAGCCGCACCAGCGACCAGAAGTTTGTTGCGATAGATCCATCCTGTGCTGGCGTCTCTTTGTTGGTTGACCACATCAACAACGGCTTGTGTTTGATGACCGCTAGTCCCTGAAATACCAAGCTGAGGTCGACAGGATCCGCTGATATCAGAATCTAATCGTGTGCCACTGACAGGGTCAACCTTGTTCTTGGTCATCCACTCCCAATTCTCAGCATCCACCTCTGGCCACTCTGTTCGAAACTTGGCGCCACCATCACCAGCCTTGATGTTACCCCTCTGGACAGCAAACGTCTTGCTGTGTGTGCCATTACCAGTCGAGTTCCACCAGCGTGATCGAGCGGCGAGGGAGCGTCGTTCGGCGGCGGTGCTGGAAACGGAACCAGTTGTCATCTCTTCACTTGTCATGAATGATAGAAGGCCGATTAGGATAGTTGAGACTTCCCATGCGGGGTTGAATGACTTGGGGTGGAAGTCGGAGATAGACAAACATAGTCGCGACGAAGGCTGGAATCGGCCGGATGGCGTGTGCATGCGAATGGCGGGAGGAGCAAAAGGATAGTTTGGGGGAAACATGAGAGTTCCCCAATACTGGCCGCCATGATAAGGAGTGTCCTCAGGACCGGTAATGATGTAGTGCCATCTGAGTTGTGTTAGCAAAGTCGACTCGCGACCAATTGTTGAGCGTGACGTAACATACTCCAGGATGTTGGACTCGGATGGATGAGCGACAATGTAAGGAGGAGGGTTCTCTGAGATGGTTTTGTATTCGCGTGTCAACTATCCAATGATTAGTATTGCACATTCAAATGGTGGGAGTAGAAGTGCATACACGCTTGGTGGCGCCTTTGCTAGCCATGCTGACTGACGTTGGATTAGAAGTTGACAAAGAGAACGGGACAGATTGCGGGTCGCGTGAGTAGAGTTGAGGGTAAAAGAATTAGGGAATTAAAGGAAGGGAACGAGTATTCACGAAACTCGAGTGAAGTGAAAGAGAAAGTTGTCTCTAAAAACTCAAAAGCAGCGATATCTTATCCTTGAGCGCAAATGAAGAGTGTATAAGTTGGGATGAATGGAGAGGAACACAGGAGGAGGCACCCTTTGCCAGGCACAGTGGTCCCGCTAGGTCCGGATAGTTTGTGGCTGTGTATCACATGCCATCCTATGACGAAGTTGAAGCGCCACAACTTTGAGCCACAGGTCTCGGGCCCACACCCGCGGGAGCTTGGGAAGTACGTACTGGCGATTAATTGGAAGCTGGGCTGTCAGGGTCCAGTTGGTGGTCCGATACTCTTTAAATCGACATCGTGAGGCTATTGCAAGCAAAAACTCGGCTCTTGAGCTACCAAAAATGGCTGCAATTCCTGGGTCAACCGGGGGTCCGGTAATTCCATCCCATTATTGAGACACGAGGAGCGATCATCTAACATGAATCAGTCTATGGACCCCTTTAACAAGCTTCATTCTGACACCGGTTCTTTGTTGCATGAAGCAGAATCGAAGCCCGAATTCCAAAAAGAGCAAGATGAAGCCAAACAGCGGCGTCTGGCTCAGGTGGTATGTTCTCTTACCAATCCGAGCTACTAACCATTTGCTAATGATGTGCAGATTGGTGACCAGCAACTGGCGCCCATGACAATCAACGAGCTTCGAATTCACGGTGCGGTCAACACACGAACAAACTTCCTCGATCCCATTTTCCAACCCCTCATTGCCGATGCCTCGAATGCAAGCTCGACTGTTGGCAATGTCATCAACAGTCTCCGTACCGCAAGCAACAAGCTCGATGGCCTGCGTATGATTTCTAGTAACCCTCACCGCAACACCAAATTAACTGATTTGTAGAAATATTTCAACCTCAACCCGAAGTTTACCTGACCTCTGCCCAACAGACCGATCCCTCTACCTCCCCCACCGATGTGAACGTCGACATCCGAGTCAAGGAGCTGTCTCGATTCAAGCTCCAAACTGGTACCGATGTTGGCAATGGAGAGGGGTCCGCTTATGGTTCGCTATTATGGCGAAACATGTTTGGTGGTGCTGAGATGTTGACGCTTAATGCAAAGGCTGGTACGCGTACACGCTCAGCTTATAGCGCCACCCTTACCGCACCTGTCAAGAGTAACCCCGACATGAGGTTGTCACTCGAGGGTGTGGCTTCTGCCGCCGAAAAGCCATGGGCTTCTCATGAGGAGGTCCTCAAGGGTGGCACACTGCGATTCTCGTGGCTGAATCAACAACGCGATACACAGTCCGTTGAGTATTCAGGCATCTGGAGGCAGATCACTGGTTTGGCCGAAAACGCCAGCCCAACAGTCCGTGCAGATGCTGGTGACTCTATCAAGAGCTCTGTCAAGCACACATTCTACAGGGAAAGGCGTGATAACCCTCAACTTCCTCAAAGCGGATACATGTTCCGATCTGGACTTGAAGTAGCTGGTCTTGGTCCTCTTGCTGGTGATGTTGCCTTTTCCAAGGGTGAGGTTGAAATCGGAGGTGCCGTCCCAATTCCTTTGCCAGGCATTCGTGAGCGAACAGGAATCTCGATTGGTGGTGGATTGAGACTAGGCTTGCTTTGCCCATTGCCTCTTGGTTATGAGTTTGCTGGAAAGCTTCGACCTACTCGAATCAACGATCGCTTTCAACTTGGAGGACCAACAGATGTTCGAGGTTTCAAGCTCGGTGGTCTTGGTCCCCACGATGGTTCTGACTCTGTTGGAGGCGATGTCTTTGCTGCTGGCAGTGTCAACATGCTTCTTCCAGTTCCCTACAAGGGACCCGATTCCGGTCTACGATTCCAGCTCTTTGCTAATGGTGGTCGTCTCGTTGCTCTCAAGGACAGCAAGAAGTCGTCCAGCAGTGGTTCCACGCAGGAGCTGTCCGGGACAGCTGTCCGAAATGGCATGGTAAACGCAGTTGGCGAGCTCTTGAACGGTGTTCCCAGTGTTGCTGCAGGTGTTGGTCTTGTTTATGCTCATCCTGTTGCTCGCTTCGAGCTCAACTTCAGTTTGCCTTTGGCTCTGAGGAAAGGAGAGGCTTCAACGAAGGGGCTGCAGGTCGGCGTGGGAATCAACTTTTTGTAGAAACATAGATATCCTTATGACTGAAATACTACTCTTGCGTTTCAAATGCCAAAATATTGTTATTCCTAAGGACTGGTCGTCTATCTTAGGTGCAATAAGGGCCGCGACTGAACAAGGCGATGAGCATCTCCCGTAGACCCACCCAAATATTCATCCCATAGCTGTGGAAATTCCGTCAGATGTTACGAACAAACACTACAGTTTAGTAATCAACACTGAGGTATTTTGTCAAGCTGAAGGTCTAATAACCTAGGTAGACGTTTTGTGCGAGTTCCTACTTACAGCAGCTTGTCTATGTCGGAACTGAGAAGTGAGATATTGTGAACACTTCTAGGACTTGTGACTTCTCCCTCGACGTATCATCTGAATACACTTATTATATTATAAGCACTGATGTGTCTATCCAATTGAAGAAGGCCTAAAGTAGAGCGTTATAACTTACTGCCGAGGCTGCTAAAACGTAGAATGGATAAACTTCCCAGCCTCCAGGCTAGGGAGCAAGAAAACACCAGACCTTAATATAAGGCGTCAAAATAAACGTAGCAAAAGGCATCCTAAATTTCTATTAAATTTCTACTAAATTTAGGCTCAATTTATGCCAATCTACCTAAATCTTTTGTCATTTAGGGTCAAGGTCCTATGTTTTCTTTCCTCCCCCAGCCAGGGCAACTAGCAAATCGAGAAAGCAAAGATAACCACACGAATTGCCATCTAAACTCCAGAAGCTTCACCGGGGATATAGGGATAGTATCGATCTTGTCTATGATCCAGTTCCGCCGAGTGTCTGATCCTTTTCAAAAGCGTCCCAGATACCACGAACGTAGGCTTCCAAAGCGACCACCCACACTTGGTACTTCTCATCGCCTTCTGCCAGACGTGGACGAGAGTTGTCCATCCATTCGCGAACTTGAGCCTATATCTATTAGCGACAAGGGACACAAATATTAGGTTTCAAACTCATACTGGTTTATTCAAGGGCTGAGGCCCATTCTCGAGTGCCAGGAGTTGTCGACGCTGCAAAACATGCTCTCTGTATTGACTAGCATTCTCTGGAGTAATCTTTGTCGAATTGATGCGTTGTTGCTTGCCATGGGCCTTGAAGATGGCATCGAAAGCTGTCCAGAGATCCAAGACTACTGCGACGAGATGGACGCGGCCCTTGGGATTGATGTAATGATGCCACTGGTCCCTAGGTGCCATGTCGCCTGGGCCAGCAGGATCATCATTCTCAAAGTCCAGGAGCATCCGGACATGCGCAGTGAGCTTATGGACATCAGAGCCATTGCCGGAGAGGAGTTCATAGACCCTAATTATGTTAGATTTCATTACGAAACGGTCAAGAGTAAAGAGCTTACAAGTCGCAATCGCTACCACCATTGACATTGCAAGAGAGACATCAGGAGCTGGAAAAAGCGCCAAATGCACAGTTAATCGGTCGCAATTCGAGAGGCTTTTGAGCGGCTGGCTTTTCCATATCATGCTTGAGCTTGTTCAATGCAGACCTGAAGCGTTTAAGACTCCAGCGATCTCCAGCGAATCGGAGCCGTTCTCTGGTGGCGTTGAGTGCTGGCACCCTCGCGATTCTGGAGTAGTTGCTTGGACTGTAAGGGCAATTTCTGGGCGATACAGTATATGAAGATCGACAGAAGAATGGCGATAAAGAGCTGATATAAAGATAAACAAATGGCCAAGAAGGTACCAAATATTAATAGCTAGATCTGGGAGAAAGAAGTGCAAGAATTGTGGTCAAACACAGAAACCAGGAGATGATCAAGTGCTGCTTGAAAACGCAATGTGTTAATAGAGATGTTCTGGAATGGTCAAAGGGGCAATTGTGAGTTATTTACTTATCACAAGGGACCACAAGAGAAGTTCATTAATGTCTTATTTGAGTGAATCTCAAAGAATCAAGAACGGAACCACAAATACTTCTGAGACGTGTTTGGCGTTGAGCAGCTCTAGGTTAGCTAGATGTTTCAAGATGAGAAACGAAACACCTTCTTATCAAGTTTCACATATATGCCTACCTATATATTTGCTGTTTCTCTATTATATTTGACGCCTTATCAATATGGGATTTTAAGCTTGGTCTTTTCTTTATCGATTGTTCTGATATCTCGTGGAAATACCGAGATGATGAGTTGCGTATGATGCTGCTACCGAAACGTGGTCAACATCAAACATGACCACAGTTCTCTTTGCCCATTCTACACGAACGAGAAAACAAGACAATCGCAGCATGTGCTTGACAAAACTTGTCCACTGCCATGGTTTTGAACGGGATACTACATCATGCCTGACTTCAGGCTCAGCACGAGAAACTCGGCTGGATGTCCTTTTCACTTATTTCCATAAAACATTTGGGTTTGCCCTTATATTTCCGTCGCTCAGCAGTTCGTCTTTCTGCAGACCGCAACAGGTTAGGTCTTTGCTAATTTATCACGGACAACACAAAATGTCCATATAAGTCTCCGAAGGATTCAACCCGGAAACTTTCAATAAACAGCCAAAATAACATGACAGCACACGCATTCACATTGAACACATCCTGCAGTAAGCACACACGCGGTCAATGGCTTACGGACGAACATTATCCGGTCAGCTTCTTACCCCTGCATTGTCCACCTGCATATCAATCACAGCGTAAGACAAAAGACGTATCGCAATGTTTAAAATCTTATGGCTTGACACTAGCATGCGCAGCTTGCGTGTTGAGCACATTGGAGCACATTCACGATGCGGAGCGGACTTTGTAGTGGACCTCACTCATTAATGATCGACCAAGCCCTTGCTCGAGGAACGTTGGGCCTGCAGGGACCGTTGAATGGTGTAAGATTTGAGGGTCTTTTTCATCTTACGGTCGCAAAAGTCGCTTTCGGATTCGTGGCGCGTGGTGTGAGGTGTAATTAGACGTATGGGTCTCAACATTCCGTGGCACCATGGGTTCAGTCAGAGATTGAGGTTGAGATGGCAGATTGGTTATGAAGTTTCAGATGAAAATTTGAGGTTGTATTTGCTTTGTACAGAGTAGAGCCGATTGAGATCGGATATAAACTCTCAGCGTAGCATGCAGAGAGAGTTTGCGGCCAGCAGTTGAGTGCCAAGGTAACAATGGGCTGGAAATGAGACATGATCGTCAAGCGTGATCGGATCTCGATTGTACCGATCTAATAGAATTATCTAGAAATGACTTCTATTACGACTTGAACATGCATCAAGGTCTACCCGGGTCTTTTCATGCCATGTTTGTTCAGGTTAAACACGTCAGCGAGATGAATCTCATATTAAATAGACTTATTTGCGACATGCTGCTTTACACGCTGCATCGTTGAAAGAACTTGCTCGTATGCTCCCCTGTCACTAGCCATAAGAAGCAAAAAACCATCAATTTTTAGCTTTCACTAGGAAGCAAGAAAACCCTGCTTGATATACGCGTAGGTTCGATTGCAACAGAAGACAGAGTCATCACTGCTGCAGTCTCGTCCAGGATCGCAGTCACCCCACAATGGTAACAAAGGGGTCAAAATTGACTCAGCAACTGAAAAAAGCCTTTGACATTTCGAGCTGACTAGCGGGCCGTGTGGACGGGGGTGCGGACGGGCTGTCGGGTCCTTGGAAGACCCCGATAGAAATACGGAGTAAGCTCACGCTACCACTAACAACGAACATTAGCCGTGCGTTGGTGTTTCTCGATAGATCTAAATCAACAACAAGAATCCTGGCGCTGACGGCCAAGCTTTATGAGAATTAACAATCCTGTCAGACCGTTTGGCGAGAAGGAGAAGGGAAAACAAAGGCTCAGATAAAAGGGAGTGCATTTTCCGACACAGAACTCGAATACGTGAGACTGTCACCACCAACATGAAGCGCATTGTCCAATCAGAGGCGTCTTACCGGGGGATCTTCCATCCGCTGTAACGTGAGTAATTGGCTATCGGCCGACGGGTTTTTGCAACGACCCGAATGATGAATACGCGGTTTCGCAACCTGTTTGAAGTTGGGATATGGAAACAAAGTTTTTATCTTTGCGGAGAAGATCGGAGAGATCTGTCCTTGTTGGAAATAACAGTTTCTGATCACTGCTCCTTACAAGGGGAGACTATATTATCATCAGTCAGATCTTGCAGGGCTCTTGGTGGATAAACAAGCGCGACAAATAGGGTTTGATGCGGCGTGGTAGAAGATGAGATTAGCTGTGTTAGTCGAGATAGAGTTCTCCAGCGTTCTGTTTCAAGAGAGGGTCGGATGCGAATATTCAAGAGCCAATACTGACCGTTTGATGATCACCAGAGAATCGAATTCTCATGGTTGTGGCTGAGGTGAGCCTCTAACGCAATGTTAAATCACAATGGCTCACATCTGCGCTACCAGTCAGAATCATTGCTATGCGAGTGCAATACGACGAATAACATGGCATCCAGGGGTACGAGCACCAAGAGCGTGGAGTTAGTAGTGGGGCATGTATGCAATTCGCTCCCATTCCCGGGATCCTCTCTCGCTTAAATGGCCTGGAGTGTCGGAGTTTGAAGGCACCCGTTATCCGCCAAGAATTGTCTCTCTCACCCTCACTCTCAGGCGCTGTATTCATGTTTTGCCAGAACAGCGCACCCCTCTATGATTGCCTAAATTGTCATTGCGTATCGGGTCGGGTTGTTGGTAGTGTGCGAAAGTGCAAATTGTTTCTCAATGCCGGAGAGATGAAGAGGCGCAGTGGATAAGAGCTGCGGACTTTGTGACTTTGTGACAGCGTTGACACATTGACGAGTATGATCAACTGTTGCGGACTGAAGACTGGGAATATCATGGCGATATCTTGAGTCAGTTTGAGTTTGAAAGCGAAGAAAAGAGGTTAAATACAGCAATCACTAGAGAGCGAGGTAGGTACTTGGAGCGGCCGCCAGTACATCGTTGACAGCCCAGCCAGTAACCAACCCAGGTAGCGAGAAACAACCCCTACAGAGGCTTGCAGCCGCACCCGCCTGCACTTCTAAAAGCTGCGCTAGAATTACCTACCTGAGGTAGCTGGGCGTGCACACCCCTTGTCGTCTACCCTTCAGTTTCGGGCTTAGTCGACAGGTGGACCTTTGCTTGGACGATCCACGCGAGTTTATCTCCATCCATCTGCTCGTTCTGTTAGGCTAGCTTACCGACGGACGGACATGACGAAGTGACAGTGAGAGCTCATATATTTTACATATTCTCCTGACCTCCCTCCTGTTTTGGTTTGTCTTGCGTCGTCCAGGGTCCTCTTTCTTACACGCCTCTTCAAAGGGACTGCTTACTCCCTTGTGATCGGCTGTTTATTCATTGTCGATCCTTAATACCAAGCTTTTAATACCTTTTCTTTTCTTGTTGTTTTGTTTGAATTGGTTTGTCTTCCATAATACTCGACTACCAATTCGCATATTAAACAACATTCAACACCCAACTCACAACTCCGATACGAGATACGAAATCCTGCAGTCACTGGGGTATCACTCACCACCACGACACTCAATTGCGAGAATCCCAAGTAGATTCAGCCGTCACATTTCACCATGTCGGCGCTCTACGGGATCAACGCCAACAACGACGCCACTGCTGTAAGGCAGGGTGCTCCAGGCGCAGGCTCAACTGGTGACAATGTGCCTGTTGCTGACAAGCACACCGACGACGAAGCGATTAACGAGAAGCCCTCATCATCACCTGCCGACACTTTAGGTAAAGATGAGGAAGACGAAGATTCAGAGATGGAGCGAAGAACCTCTATTGTTCAGGCCCTCGCTCGATCTTATTCGCATGCCTCCGGCACCCACCCCAACGGACAGAATCCTTTCCAGGCTGGCGAGGATTCACCTCTGAACCCCAACTCTCCCAACTTCAACGCTCGCGAATGGGCAAAGTCTGTTGTGGAATTAGTTCACCAAGACGGCGCTAATTTCCGATCTGCCGGTGTTTGCTACCAGAACCTCAATGTTTACGGTTATGGTGGTGCTAGCGATTACCAGGGAGATGTCGCAAATGTTTGGCTCTCTCTGAGCGACCTCGTTGGAAGAGTGACTGGTCGCAAGCGACAGCGCATTGATATTCTGCGCAACTTTGATGGTGTTGTGCACAAGGGCGAAATGCTTGTCGTTCTTGGACCTCCCGGTGCTGGTTGCTCCACCACGCTCAAGACCATCGCCGGTGAGCTCAACGGTATCTACGTCGATGAGGGATCTTACTTCAACTACCAAGGTAAGTCGAATTGCAAATTTCGTGCAAAAGGGGTGTTTTGGTTTCACGGGACTCGATCTCCTGTTGCGATCGGCAATGGGCTTGTCGCGTGCAACACAACTCGTACCTAC